TTATGTGCCTCAGTGATCCATTGAGCTGTACCGGGTGGTGCATTTTTGCACCTTCAGAGCCACTCATACCAGATTGGTCAATGGTTAGAGGCCAGACGAACTCAGCCTCCTGGTCCTCCAGGTTAAGGGTTGGAATGAGGGTGGCTCCTTATTCCTTAAAACGGACTCCTTGTAGCCCAATGCCAAACCCGCTGCCTTGCGAACAGGTTTTTGAACCAAAGGCTTTGGTTGAGAACCCTAATCGTTCTCCTGTCTAGGCCTGGGCAACCTGACAGTATCCTGCCCACGCAATACAATGAATCTCACTTCAAACCAATTTCTGATGCTCTGGCCACCGCAGAGGATAATCAACGGTGCCCTATCTGCTGCATCGAGCAGGGTGGATAGGGGTTTGGATGCTACTGCTCAAGCCTCCCCGTCTTCTTATTCCCCCTCGCGCTTTTTCACCCTTATCGTCCTGTTCCAGCTTCACTTTTATCCTCCCTGTTTTCAACCCCCAATTCTCGACCCTCCCCCACCTTGCTTCAATAGTCGCTTGTCTTCTGGTTTCAACTCACATGTGAACGCGGAGCGTCCTTCCTGCCCTGTCAACAGGCCCATGTCCAAACAAGCGGCCCATTCCAGTTCATCGGCTTCCATTTGGAGCCCTCGATCCTCCTTCAGATTGGCATGCCTCGATGTTCGCACATTGCTTCAGATCGGTCAGCAGGCAGCACTTTCTCGAACATTAGAGACCCTCTCGATCGATATCTGCTGCTTATCGGAGACCCGCCTGCAAGACTCGAGCTCTGTACTCACTCTGCGATCCCCTTCAGGTGACACTAGCAGCACTTTCTCATTGCGCCTATCCGGTGACGATGCAGCTTCGAGCACCGGCCAAGCTGGTGTTGGTATTGCCCTGAGTCCCCGGACTGAAGCTGCTCTGGTTGCTTGGATTCCAATCAGTAGCCGGATGTGTGCGGTCCGATTGGCTGGCTCGTTCAAAACTTCGAAGTCGCGTGGGACTAACAGGTGTCTATTCATCATCGCTGCCTATGCACCGACAAACTCTAGCGATGACTCGGTAAAAGACGACTTCTATCGCCAACTGAACGAACTGCTTCGCCACAGAAGAAGCTCGGACACTGTAGTGCTGGCTGGGGATCTGAACGCTCAAGTTGGAAAATTATCCACAGATGAGCTGCATCTGGGTGGCCAACATGGTATAGGCTCCCGTAATGATAACGGTGTGCGGTTAGTTCATTTGTGTGAGGATGCTCGCTTATTTCTTGCGAGCACTAATTTCCGACACAGCACCCGCCGGAGGGTGACCTGGCGCCCACCAGCCTCGAACCAGCTATGGACGCAAATTGATCACATTGCCACCAGTTACCGCTTGAGAGGCTGCGTCCAGAACTGTCGCTCGATTTGGAGCACAGGTGTGGACACCGATCATGCACTTATATGTGCTGACCTGCGGATGCGCTTTGGCGGACGCCCGCGACGATGTTGTGAGCGCATTGACACCGGCAGACTGGTGAATCCAGCTGTTCTGAACGCCTATCAAATTACGCTGTCATGCAAGTTGGATAAACGCTCACTGGATGCAATTGAAGCACACTGGTCTCATATTCACCAGACCTTACTAGCAGCAGGAAAATCCTCATGTGGTTAGTCTAATCGTCAACATGGACATTGGTCTCTTCACAGTCTCTGGAACTTATAGATGCTCGCTGGCATATTCCGACCGGAAGCGAACACAATGAAACTCGCATAGATCTCCGTGCTAGCTCGAAGAGAGACCGCGAATCCTCGTGGTCTAATTGTGCAACAGAGATGGAAATGGCCGCTGCCCTTGGTAACCATCGTAAGTTATTCCGTCTGATACGGGAAACGGGCAGCAGGAGACCTGGTGTTAGTGAAACAATTTGTGATGAGAGTGGACAGCCTATCCACAACTTATCAAAACGCTTGGAGCGTTGGGCTGAGCACTTTGAACGGCAATTTAATCGGTCGAAATAGTTTGATTTCTCACCGGCCACTGATCGCCTTGCTCCGTGGGCTGTCCCTTTGGATCCACCCTTTTGCTCAGAAGTCGAACGTGAGATCGAACTGTTGCAGTTATACAAAGCCGCGAGACCTTGTGATCTTCCTCCAGCCCTCTTCAAATTCGCGGGACCTGCTCTTGTGGATGATTTATACGAGTTACTAGTCAAACTGTGGGAGCAGGAAAGTGTTCCAACCCATTGGAGCCGCTCCGTCATAGTCCCAATTTTCAAAGGAGGCTCACGATCGGAATGCGGCAGCCATAGAGGAATCAGTCTGATATCCATCGCCTCCAGATTGCTTGCTTCGGTCATCCTTCACAGACTGACTGGCACTCGTGAAAGCCAGATTCGTGAAGAGCAAGCTGGATTTCATCGAGGTCGTGGCTGCGTTGACAACATCTTCACCTTGCGTGAGTTGTTGGAGCACCGTCACATATATTGGCGGCCCACCCTTGTCGTGTTCCTCGATATCAAAGGTGCATTCGATTCGATGGATAGACATGCACTTTGGGACTGTCTACTCAGGGAAGGTGTACCTGAGAAATGTGTGAATATTATCCGAGCATTATATGCGCGTAGCTCGGGCAGAGTGAGGGCTTACGGCAAGTTGTCATCGCCCTTTAATATCTCCAGCGGTGTGAGACAAGGATACCCGCTGTCACCTTTCCTCTTCAAGTTCGATGTTGACGAAGTCATGGAAATCGTGTTTACAGGACACCTTTTAAAGGTGTGAATCTGCTCCCAGGAGAACGACTTCTTGACTTGGAATATACTGATGATATTGCCCTCATCTGTGACAGCTCACAAACGTGCCAGGTGGCACTGGACAGATTAGCAATAGCTGTCCGTCACTTCGGGCTTTGCTTCGCACCCTCGAAGTGCAAAGGGTTCCTCCAAGATTGGCGGGGACCGCCTCCTACGCTGACCCTTGGTGGGGATCAGCTAGAAGTCGTTCAAAAATTCAACTACCTGAGAAGTTGTATCAGCGCCCGTGGGATTGAAGATGAGATCACGAACCGTATAGCAAAAGCGCCCCGAGCTTTTGCTAACCTCCACCACTTATGGCGGCGGCGCGACCTCACTCTTGCCCTGAAGGGTAGAGTGTACAATGCAGCAGTACGTTCGATCCTACTGTACGGTTGTGAAACCTGGCCGCTTAATGCAGCGGACCTGAAGAGGCTAGTTACGTTCGACCACCGGTGCCTTCGTAATTTAGCTCACATCTAGTGGGAACACCGCGTGAGTGACGAGCGTGTTCGGCGCCTTGTTTACGGCAGAGGAAATGGAACTGAACCGCTCAGCCCCGTTATTTCACGCATCTGGTTCCGATGGCTCGGCCACGTGTTGCGCATGCCAGCCCACCGACTCCTGCGACGTGTTGTTTGCGCGCCGGGGGTGTGAATGGAAGAAGAGGAGGGGTGGCCAAGCGATGACTTGGTATAGAGGAATGAAGGCCCTCACTTCGGAGCTGGCCTCGGTTGGAGCGTCTCGGCTCCCTGGTTGGGGTCCGAAAGACGTTGAACACGTTTGGCTGGACACACTTGCTGATATGGCAAGGAGCCGACCTCAGTGGCGTTCTTGCTGTGAGTTTCTTTGTCCCACCCCATCCCTCTTAGTCTCCCCCTCCAACCACGATCTCATTATTTAACCTTATATAATTTCGTATAGTAATTTTTTCGATGCACAGTAGCCGGCTGGTAGCTTACCGGAACGATGCCCATCCGTTACCGGTAGCTCAGCCAGCTTGCACCAGTTGCATTTTTTCTCCTTTTTTCTATGTATTGCGGCACAGTAGCTGAGGTGTTCCCCACCTCTAGCTAACGTGTATTTATGTATGTATGTGTAGGGACCTCTTGATTGTATCTGCATCCATTTGTGAAGATGGGCATTAGTACCTCTCGCGTGTACCTCTTGGTATCCCGGTCTCCGCTTCCGACATCCGTTAAGCGACTAAACAAGACCTGCCTCCTCAACATGTCATTACTCTTGTTTAAATGCGCTGGCTTATGGCAAGACCCACTACACAGGCTTTTTTGCTGATACGAGTCAGTAGCGGTTACTAACACATCCCTTGTGTCTACTGATCGAGTCTCGGTGCCATGTCCCCAGTCATCCACCATCTCCATCTTGCCACTATGCTTCGAAACGATAAGGGCGTTTGCACCTAAGGATGTCTGCTAACTCATCAGGTGAGGACCCGTTCTGTGGCGAATGTCTCGTTACCCATGGTCCCGTTTCCACCTTGACTTCACTGGTGCAGCTTACGGACCGTCGTATCTCATCATTTTAGGCGCTTACCACAAGTGACAAAAGTAGTGGCACTCAGCTCTGCGACCTCAGCCGGTACGATCACCACTGTTCGGAGGATCTTTGGCCAACACAATCCACCCGATGACTTTGACATACTTTTTCCCATCTCCTTTAAATGTTTGCTCATTGTTTTATTCCCCCACTTATTTAAACGCTTATACTCATGGTAATTATAATCCTCCCAAATGAAATCACCACATTTCGTTACTTGGATTGCATTTGAAGGACCCTAATTAGCTCGGATGGCAGCTATATCGATCATATTAATGATTAATGACACCGCACTCGGGGCGGGTTCGTAGGGTTCTCGTTCCCCCTTTTTTCCTTCCAACAACTCAAAACCTTTTACAGCCCCCTATTTTCCTCATTACTATTACCATTTGTTTTCTCTTGGTGCACCAGGGGACTAGCCAACCCGGTTACTCATACATCTGTTCTCAAATCGTAAATAAGGTACTGATTTAGACCGATATCAAAGGTCCAGGAAACCACTAAGCTCTAACTTTAGTTATTTCCTTTCCATCTTTTTTAGTTGGCATACTCCGCTTCAACCACAAACTGTTTATTACATTACTACTTGATAATTAATTTAATGTTTTTTATAATTTTTTAATTTTTCAACCTTTTTCTTTCGGTTAACTAACTCTTTTGTCCACCTTTCAGGCAGTTGCATACTGAGACAGCCACGAATGTGTCTCCACCCATGCCTTTCAGGATTGATTTGCATGCCTTTCGCCAAGAATCTTCTCCAATCTGTGCTGATCGCAAGGCGGCATCTCAGTCACCCACCTATCCTAACTATACTTGCGATCATGTAATGCGACCGCGATCTAGACGGACTCGACTTACTAGCAGTGGGCACGCGGCGGATACAAACCTCAACGTTCAGAATGAGTGTGGGTCATTTCGTACTCGGCGTGCCAGCAACTTACAAAATAAAAGTATATCTCTATCACAACAATCTAAGTCTCATCTGAAATCGACTTCACCCACTTCTGTACTCGATTCTTATGCTTCTGAACGGGACACGACAAGTCGCGTGGAGCAACTTGAAGATGACAACTCGTTCTCCTCCAGTGTATTCTCAGAGCACATGGCTCATCCAGACCTCCCGCTCGTCTTAGACGCGGTAGCCAATGACTCAGGGAAGTCCTGTGGGGACGATATTCTTTCTTCCGAGCACACGCTTTTAAATGTTGGAGCTGATGGGGATGATAATACTAATGGTTTGGTCACAGGTCAGCTCTCCTCTGACATAAAAGCAGACGTCACTGGCATGCTAATTCATGAAGATAGTGGCGTCTCGACGCCAATGCTAGTCGCCGCAGATGACTGTGTCAGTTCCGAGGGTGAAGAAGACAACAATGGAAGGGAGCGGAGTTTGATGCTGTCTCCGGGTACGTTTCGTTTGGGTGCCAGACCGGAAGTAAGTAGCAATCTGGCTTCTGACTCGGAACCATGTTTGCTAACCGCTTCTTGTGTCCCAAGCAGTATGGGACTCAACACTGGTTTAACCGAACCAAGTTCTTTTGACCACATTTCCGCTGTGCCGAACCTTAATGTTCCCAGAGTCGACGGTGGGTCTGGGGTGTACTCAAATTCTATGTGCACACAACATAACCTCTCCTGCCAAAACAGAACTACTGAACAAGTCGCATCGGTGTGTTCCCTTAAGTTCCGGAGTCATGGTCAGGCGCTTACGTGTGCTACACGTGTGATCACAAGATCACAAACGGCGGAGCTATTCAGGAGTGGAACACCGGCCCTTACACATTTCAGCTCAGCTCGTACTGGTGATACCAGAATTTGCGACAACGAACCGCGTTGCGATATCGCTACCACATGTCTTTCTGCGGTCCCCCAAGCCGGTTGCGGAAGTAGCTTTGACTCATTGACTTTATCCTCACAATGTAATAACCACTACACCAAACGGGGACGCGACAAACCGTTACTGGCCAATTGCATTGTTCATTTGGCTCCAATCTCGAAACAAAATGAATTGACGGCCTCGAATCTGGATCAGCACGTTTCCAAGTGTCACTGCAGTTCTGATTCGCCTATTCCCGCTCCCAAATGGGATTTTGTGACCAAGGAAGAGGCGCCCTGTCCTGGTAAGTGTCAATGTTGTTACGTTTGTGATCTTCTGGTTGCCATGTTCATACAACAGATGGAATGATGAGTTTGCATGTAACCCTATTCCCCCGCGGAGATTTTTGTCTGCCGTCCCTATGTGTCCCAGTAGGGACCACCTTTTTATGCCAGCTTTCTGCGACGCCCTAATTTCCCATATTTCTGGTATTAGATACGGCTGATTCCTCTCAGTGCCTTCAGTGTCACATGCATCAGAGATGTCCAGCAGTTTTGACCCGCTCATTTAACTGGTTGTACACACATGTATAATTGGCGGCATCCGGTTCCGGATTTGCCTGTCACTGCGGCCCCATTGGGGACAGCCATAGAGATCATGGGTGATTTACGCTACACCATCTGCAACTCCATCCGCCCACCCCATATCCAGTGTAAACCCGAAGGAATAAGACCGGGAGACATGTGGATGGGAGCCACGTTTCATCAACAGTTCCGACCCACACTCCTCCAACATACTCAGCAGCAACCCTCTCTACTTTGGGAATCATGCGTACCGGACATGCATAAGGCGGTGACTGGACCGTAGCTCGCTCTACATTGGATGGAACCACTCTTTGGGTTTGCGGTAGATGCAGCGATACTCTAGGAGCTGACGAAACTTGAACACTTATTCCACACATACTTAGCTTGAACGAAAACCAGTCTGCTCCTCCTGAGCTGGTGTTATCTTGCATGGCATGATGAATGTAAGTAGCTTGTAGGCAACTTATTTTAGACTTATCCTTATTTGTTTGGCATCTGAAGTACAACAGTATTTCTTAAATATTTGGACAATGACTGTTCCTCCTCAAAACGAGGAGTCATCATCATCATCATCATCATTACACATGTCAGCTAGAGGTGGGGAAACACCGCTATTGTACCGCAATACATAAAGGAAATACATACATACATACAATCCATAAATAAAAAATAAGTACTACAGTTGCATGCCAGCTGAGCTACCAGCAACGGATAGGCATCGTTCCGGTAAGCTACCAGCCGGCTACTAGGCAAAAAGAAAAATTATTATGTTGTATGGTCTGAAATAAGATCGTAGATAGAGGGCGAGGCTAAAAGGGATGGGGAGGGACAAAGAAACTCACAGCAAGAACGCCACTGAGGTCGGCTCCTTGCCATGTCAGCAAGTGTATCCAGTCAAACGTGTTCACCGTCTTTCGGACCCCAACCAGGGAGCCGTACAGCTCCAACAGAGGCTAGCCCCGAAGTGAGTGACTTCATTCCTCTGGACCAAGTCATCGCTTGGCCACCTCTCCTCTTTTTCCACCCATATCTCCGGTGAGCATACAACGCACGTCGAGGGAGTCGGTGTGCTGGCAAGCGCAACACGTGGCCTAGCCATCGGACCCTGGTGCGTGATGTAATGATGCTGAGCGGTTCACTCGCTTTTCCTGCACCAAATGCGCGACGCCGAACACATTCTTTATTCACGCGGTACTCCCACCGGACATGAGCTAAGCTGCGAAGGCAGCGATGGTCGAACGTGATTAGCCTCTTTATGTCTGTCTATCTGATGGGTCAGGTTTCACAACCATATACGTGGGTTGACCGGACAACTGCATTATAAACTCTGCCTTTCACGACTGGAGTGATGTCGCGGCGGCGTCGGCGGAGGAGGTTGGCAAAAGTACCTCGAGCCTTTTCTTTGCGGTTCGTAATCACATCTTCCATATCTTGGGCGCTAATATAGCTGCCCAAATACTTAAATTCCTGAACGACTTCTAGCTGATCACCATCAAAGGTTAGCGCAGTGGTGCGTCTCTGCCAATCTTGGTGGACTGCATTTCGATGGAGTAAAGCGTAGCCCAAAACGGTAGACAGCCAGTGCTAATCGCTCTAGCTCTGCTTAGCACGTTTAGGAGCTGTCACAGTTACGGGCAATATCCTCTGCATACTATGAGTCAAGAAGTCGCTCACCAGGAAGTAGTTTCACACCTTGTAGGTCGTGTCCGATGATCGCTGCTTCCATGACCGTCAATGGAGAAGTTGAAGAGGAAAAGTGACAGCGGACAACCTTGTCTCACACCGCTGGATATATTGAAGGGTGGCGACAGCCATAAACCCTCCTTCTGCCCGAATTATGCGCGTACAGCGCTTTGATGATCTTTACGTTATTTCATGCAGCCATTTCCCTTCAGAAATTTCAAGAGAGCAAGAACGAACAGCATTTCTGCGGGATAACCTGAATTCAGCTTATTTCGTGTCTTCTCATTCAGCCGCTTACAGACAAATCGTGGAAAGAGTAACGGAATGCAATTGTCTGTAAGCGGCTGAATGAGAAGACACGAAATAATCTGAATTCAGGTTATCCCGCAGAAATGCTGTTCGTTCTTGCTCTCTTGAAACTTTACGTTATTGTCGGGCACACCTTTCCTAGGCAGACAGTACCACAGGGCACGTCGGTCAGCCGAATCAAAGGCAGTTTTTATCTCACGAAACACGACTACGGTGAGTCGCCAATAAACATGGCGGTGCTCTAGAAATTAACGTAATATGAAGATGTGCTCAATGCAGCCTCGATTTCGACGAAACCCAGTCTGATCCTTACGAATCTGGCTTTCACGAGTGCCAGTCAATCTGTGGAGAACGACAGACGCAAGCGATTGAGAGCCTATGATTGCAATATGTTCTGTTTGGGATGAACATTGTGTTGTTAGAGGACGGCAAGTTGCAGAACTCGAGTACCCGAAGTAGTGCTTACAAGAATTACCCCGTTGCTTTCACGCAACGTGAGAAAGCTTATTCCGTTATCAGGACAATTCTCATGCAGTGATATTCATTTGCTAACTGGCGACATGTGCGTTGAAGTCTCTAACGAGGTTCGCTTTTGAGGCTTTACGCAGAATCTGATGATGTGGGTAGTAAAGAAGTCCTCCCGGATCAGTTTCCCTCTTCAGTCAGTTGGCGCATAGGTGGAAACCACAGACAAGTCGCCTCTTTCAGCTTGATGCCCGTTATAGTGGTATGAGCAGTACACTGGTACGCAGTACCGACACTTTGCTGCTGCGCACCTACCACCAGTCGCACGGGTATTGCGAGGGTCGACCGGTTCCCCACGCAGGTTCGAACCCGCGCCGTCGGATTACTAGGTAGACTTGTGATCCTTAAGACTACGGGCAGGGTTGGTGCCCATTAACCCTACCTGAGCCTTGTAGCCAGGCTGCACATAGTCGGTAGTTAACGGGAAACCCATTCAGGGGTGCGTCCTTGGCTTTACTGCTTGGTGCCACGCCAGCGCCGGCCAAATCAGCTGCGGTTGCTTCTATGGCGTCATCAGTAGCTTACTTCCTATTTGACCGGTGATACCGACTTCAGCACAGAATTTGCGTCTTGCAACCGCGTTTCGGTAGGCAATATATCTCAGTAGCGGTGAAATTCAAACCACATTGAAGGTTGCCAGCAGAAGCGAGAATCAAGGTCTAAGAATAGCCGTAGGCCGAGCTTTTGACAGCAGCGAAGCCGGTATCTGTATTAAGTCGAGAGTAAATGGGATTAATAACGGATGCAAAGTTGGTGTGAGCGGGATCTAGGAACGAGTGGGTGCAGTGAAGTGATCTTTTCAAAGATGGCGATACTACCGCGTTGCCCAAACTTAGGGAACACCACCCTTAGCCTTTGGTTCGACAATCTACTCGCAAGGTAGCAGAACGAATTGTGGCAGTTGTGCCCATTGGCAACCGCTGACCGATTTCTTGGTTTACACGCCCTTAGTTTAGTAACACACCAAGCAGGAATCCAATCATCACAATCCCAACATCAAGCTGCTGATATACAGTACTCTACCGGGGTGAAACAACAGACAATGATTTCATTTTTAGTGGTGGGTCGCATCCAGTACGCCATAGTGTTAAATAGATATTTATGGCATTTTATAGGTAAAACGCTTGGCAATTAAAAACACATTACTTCCTGGAATAACGCCATGGAACCCTTTCCTGGAATGTTATGAACCCAAAGCACCCAGCTCGCACTACGAACTTGTTCAGCTGAAGTATCAGTCGTCGCTTATGCAATCATGGTGATTGAGACAATGTTCCCATTTGGCCACCAAGCAGTCCTCTCGCACATTGTGCGAACTGCACTCTCGAGGTGACGAAGTTTGCACTTCGGTCTTCTACTACCTTCGAGCTTTACCTTTTATTGCCTAGAAACCTGTTATCAGTTGGGCACAAATCATGGCTATCGGAAACGCTTCATCCTCAGCTTTCTTTTTGAAAGATTTTCATTCTTTTCCTTGGATAGACGAGACTCACTCCTTGGCTTGTCCTTTCATTCACACAAAACTGTGTTGATTGGCTTTTTGCACTCCACGTATGTAGGACCAACATACGTCTCCATTACATGCTTCACTTAGAAAACTCACGTTTCAATCCAGCACCCCCGTCACTGCATCTTATCACTAGGGACAGCCTGATATAACTACCCTCAAACACAACGGGTGGACACCCTTTTGGTAGTAAACCACTCAATAGAAAACTAGTTTTTCTTAAACTACCATAAATAACTTACTTTTAAAAGATGAATCCTACGGACACCTCATAATCAGCAATATCTCGGACCCCATTTCTTCACAACAAAAGCTCAGTTAATAACATTTTACTATATAAGCTTGATTTCACGAAATCTTTTTATTTTAGTCATACCAATTTCAAGTGATGCTACTGTTCTTCAACCAGGAGTGTCTACCGGCTCAGTGTCACCACGTCGCATCAATGCAGACAGGTCTGGCTTTCCAGCACGTAACTCTGCCCCGTATGGGACTCTGGTTTTCGAATCGGAGACTGTACATGCTGGTCACCCGTATCTGCTGCGGTCCCGGCTGAGGCGAGAGTACCTACGGCGTGAATGGCTCGCAGCTCGTGCTTCACCGAAATCGTTCAATCAACTCCCAACGGAAGTGCTTCTTCGGATCGTACATTACTTGTGTATTCAGGATTTGTTCCGTTTGCAATTAGTCAGTAGCCGATTCAAGGCCCTCGTCGAACGTTATCTCCTTCTGGTCAAACGCATCAACTTCAGCAACGGGCTTCCTTTCGCCTTTTTACCCTCTTCAATCAACGATTCTGTGCTTAGGCGCATACTTTCTCACACTCCTGAGGTAACGCACATTCTCGGTTTCTACCCCAAAACCATAACCGGCTCCCATCCGTTGGAATTCCACAGTCTAGGCAACAATCGCACCGCTTCTCCCACTTCACTCACTTACGCTGGGATTGTCTCAGCTTTTCGGCTGTGCCCCAAGCTGCGTTCAGTAGAGTTGATGGATGTGGAGTTGATGAGCAAGTTAGTTCACTACTTGCCTCGCATAAAATTTCATGGCATGTTCCGCAATCGGCCCGATTCTTGGGACTGCGAATACGCTGTACCCTTGCCCATCGAAACCAAGCACGAAGTGGCTACGGAGCTTGTGCATCCGCGGACTCTCACGAATGACCTCACAGCATCCTCATCCGAAGCAACTGGGTGCTTAATACAATCGCCAACGCTTGCAGGTCATCTGAGTTCCTTATTCTGTTGTGTTACGGCTATTGCAGAAGCCATTACCAGTGGTACGAATTTTAAATCCCGTAAAGTTCTAGATGGATTAACTTTCAAATGTCTACGTGGAAGGCGTCCCTCTTCGCTTGGACTCAGCTCCGGAGCCACTTTTTCCAAGAACTCTTCTGGCTTCTCTTCACTTCAGGCATCAACTTTACTGGCGCACCAGTGGTCAATGGAGTATGCCGATTTGGCTGCTTGGTTGGACCTCGTGGGAGAATTTCCAGTTGGACATGGTTCTCCATCAACCGTTCCTCACTTCTTACCCTGTGTGTCGAATGGGAGCTTGTCACCTTGGTTAGAAGATGCTTTTCAACAAGCGGGTTTCAGTTCATCTCGGAGTCTGATGATTGCACCATTTCTTCAACCTGGTTTGCCTCCAGTGGAAGCTGAACTAATCGCTGCTCCTTTGTCTCAGTACATGGTTACAGAGGCCCCAGTCACAGGGACTGCAGATAATCCTGCACTCCCCTTATTGGGTTTCGCTTTCGGTGCATTGTTCGTTTCTCCCGACTTAGTCGGTCAGGGCTTGGGGGCTCCCTTCTTACTTTCTCCACAGAGCGCCGGTACAAATGATCCTGCGTTAGTTAATCAGTCTCTTGACAACTGCCTTCCAAATGTTCATCCAAATGGACGTGGCCCTTCTATGTCTGCTGCGTCGCCACACTCAAATCAAGCTGCGCGTGTTCGGCAGATAGAGCCACCACAACCTATCCGGATCCAACCAAACGACCCCGGCCAAGCTTATTCTCCCAATGGCCGACGACAGCCAGTGGCCCAATACACTCGACACACCGCACGTCCATGGTTCGCCTCTCCTTTACCCTGGCATTCCGTTTGTATCGGGTTGCCTTTCGCCATCGCTAACCTGACAAAACTGGATCTAGTCTCTGTTACCATAAGTGCTCTTCCTCGTATGGATAATATCAAATACTTGCATTTGAAGTGGGTAAGTTATCGTCCCTTTGCGTTGATTTGCATTATCGCACCCACTCTTCCTGATGCTTTGCATACACCAACAACAATCTTGTCTCTGATTTTTTGAGTATTTTTTCGTCACAACGCTTTTTAGGTCATACTTTTCTTTCAAGTGGCACAATGTTTGAATTGGTACCACATCCTTCCAACGTATCTTCTTATGTCATAGTGTTTGTCGTTGCTTGACCTCTCCTTTGCTCTGTTGAGCTTGTGTCGGGACAGTGGCTAGCTGCTGTTATTGGCAAACGTATGACGTTTGTTTTAATAGATTGATCTAACCCTAAGTTCACATAAGAACTCTTCACAACCTATCGTAACTCAATATTTTTGGGATTATGAGTCAACAGAATGTGTACTTCGTTACTCATCGTTTGATATGCTCGCGCACAACGGCTCAATCCAAGCATTTCGTTGGCTTGCTTCTTTTTTCTCCCGATCCTCCGTCAACTTGGCATGAAGAATTCCATGTCGCTTCACTACTTCCCTAAAACCTAACAACTGAACTGCCGGATCCTCCGTTATTTGTTTACATAGTACTTCGGTTTCTGACTCCTTGTTTTATTCAATCTTCCTTCTGCAACACGAGTTGTGCTGGTCGGCTAATTTTTACCTTTCCTGTGTGCTCCTTATCTTGCCTGACAAATATATTGTCCGAATAATTAGGCCAGATCGTTGGATAACGCATTCGGACTATGAGAGTTTTTCACCCGCCATTAATTAAACACAAACGCAGTATGTTCGGGTCGTTTGCACCTAGACTTTGGGTCCAAACTATGGCTTCCAAGACCCCTGATTTAGTTCGACCTTTTAGAAAACGAGTGTCATTTCACCTTGATAGGCAGTATGCTAACTACTAATCTTTTATTTATCTCAAAGCAATTATCATTCGTTCCGCTGTGCGGAATGGAATGGAATGTTTGTCACTGTGCTACTTCAGATTGTGGCCCTTGAGTTTACTTGGTACTCCTCTCCCGCAACATTAATAAGCTAAGAAAATGAAATAGCTTGATTAATTATGACAATATGGTGTATCGTTTAACATCAATTGCCAAACTTAGTTTTTTATCCATTTTGCTACTACACCTTAGGTTCGTCTATTCTACTCATCTTGGGGCCTAAAAGTAATCAGTCCCATCACCCACATCGGAAGAAAGCTGGTACTAACGCTCCTCCACATTGGAGATTGTCTGTTGCATCCTGTCATTACCTTATTTTGTGTTTGCTGTTTTGTTCTCCTACTGTGCCTAACTTGATCGAGTTCTGTTCGCAAGAGTATGCCGCGCAAACTTTTGTGAACTCCCGATATTTAGTTTACGACGCAGTCCAAGTTGAGTATCGTCATATAACTTGCCAGTTTGTGTAGAGGTAGTAAAAACTCGCATCGCATGCACTTCATGCTACTGACCTACTACTAGCTGTTGCGAGCTGAGTAAAATCGCATTGCACAAATCCAAGGGGTTATCAGAGATTGGTGATTATCCGCAGTTGTCCGAAGTGCCTTCCTTTCTGGCTGTCTGTTACCATAATCATCGTGCGGCCCCACAGAACTATCTGGCTGAAGATGTGTCACCTGCACTCACAAGCTCAGCCCCCTATGTTCAGTGTCCGTTCAACATCGCGAAATCACCGTCGCAACGAGGTTGTATCTTACGGTGGTGTGACCCTTTTCCTACCTGATCGACTCATTGGGCTATACTGGGTGAGGTCCTTGGGCGTCTTGAGGGCTACTCCTACCAGGTTGGTCAGTGGTTAGAGGTCAGACGACCCAAGCCTCCCGGTCCTTCAGGGTGGGGCTTTGAAATGGAATGGCCTCTATTTATGTAAAACCAAATCGTTACCACCCCGCTGTTTTGCGGGTGGATTTTGGAGCCAAAGGCTTTGATTGAAGATCCTTATCGTCCTATCTAGGTCTGGGCGCCTTGGCAGTATCTCAGCCCACGTACAACCATGACTATTTCCTTAATCATCAATCATATTCTGCATCGGCCGTCTCACAGCTTATCAGGGTCGCCTTATATGCTGCATACAGCAGGGCGGATAAGCGAAAACACGCTACTGCTGGCGCCTCCCTTCTTTCCTTTCCACATGTTTCTCTTACTCCCCCCAGTCCCCATCACTAGCCTTCTTCCTATAATTCCCAGTTTAATTGACAGCAACCGCAATGCCACTGGAGTCACACCATCTGCAGCTGTGTTCCCGCACAACTCAATGGACGCATATTGGCGACAGTCCCTTCTAAGGCCACACTGTTCCGTTTCTCTGGTGGTGTTCAACCTTCGCACGCACGTTGGACACGCTGGGTATTGACATGTTTTGTATTTCCGAAACTAGGATTAATGACTCTAATGGGGTTGTTGAGCTTACTGCGCCCGGTTTGTCCCATCGCAATTGGTTGCACGCATTCGGAGACGCTGTTGCGGCAACCACTGGTCAAGCTAAAGTAGTCATTAGTCTGAGCTCCAAGGCTGAGTCATCGTTGGTTGATTGAATTCTCGTGAGCAGCAGTCTGTGTGCAGTCCGGTTGACGACATCAACTAAGGTTGGTTCTCCAAGTAGCACTAGCCTCTGTTTTTAGTGTCCTCTTATGCCCCCACTGTCTGCTGTTCTGATGCTGCTGAGGACATCTACCACGAACTGATTACGCTACTACACATATATCATAGCTCTTTCAGGAGACATGAATGCGCAAGTAGGTCGTCTTAACTCTTTAGAAGCCCAGCTCCGAACAGACGGACAACGGCGATCATCTGTGTGCGAAGTACCGGCTGTTTCTTAGTAACACTGCTTTTAAACACATTGGGCGTTCACTGTCCCGCTTCATAATCATCCACTATCCGCAGATAATTTAGCACCAAACACACTTTAAACAGGCAGTCCGATGAGGAGACGGCGGCGGACACGCCACTGGTATCGACTGCTGGTCATGTCCTGTAAATTCTCGAGCCAAGCACGTGGCGTACAGTTTGGAAGGCAAGTTGGACCAACAGCACCAAGTTTTATAGTCAGCGACTTCACTTCTCGCTGCTATGTCAACTTTTGTCCACCTCGAGTCTTTCGCCACCCTACACCTGACCGTCAAAACGAGGTCCTTCTTTGTAAGCGGTGACCGGGCATATGTAGGACGTGCCCAAGCCAACACAACTTATTCATTGCTATCTTTTGTTCTCAATTTTTTTGTGGAAGGTACTCATCCAGATTAATCTACTGGTTAGTGGCTTAGCCGAATCTACAATTATACGACGTTTGTTACATATTCGTAGTTATATATATATATATATATATATATATATATATATATTGTTGCGAGCGGATTGTTGTTGAAAGCATCTTTTCCTAACGAGGGAAGATCCTCTGGCCACCAATAGTGCACACAAGTAGATGGGTGGTTATTCACCACAGAATAGAATTTTGACAAATTGTTGTAGCGTAAGAAAATTGTATCCCAAGTGATTTGAAAGTACGGACAGTTTAACTCCTTTGTAATGAAAGTCTTCATACTACACATTGACAAGACCATGACCATTGGTGAAACTTATTAAGTGAGTGCTCGCTGTCGAAATTTTGCAAAAAGTACCGAGGATATTCCGTCTGAACCGTTTGACAACCGCTGCATAAATATAGCTCTCAGTGTTTCCAGTATCAGTCAAAAATTCTAGAGGAAAGTTGTTGATGAGTACATCAATGACGGCATGACAGAGACCGTTTGGTGCCGCTGTGACCGTGATAGAGGGTAGGCAACCATTGAGCGCTGAATTAGTATTTTTTGACTGAGGAACGACAACCCTTCTGGTAATGTTCTTTTCTTTCCACAACAGTTGCATACAGTGTCGCGTGCTGAGCATTGGGACCGATTATGTCTGTTAAACCAGTAAATGAAACATTTGCTATTTGATACAGCAGCGGTGAAACTGTTACCTTGAACTAATGAAGCACCTGACGCTTTCAAAGATTCTGACTTACATGCGGTAGATGCGCTTTCTGATTTGTATGTGACTGATGAAAGGCCATCTCGATGGATCGGTCCTGTTGACAATCGACGTATAGGTCAAGTGACACATTTTTCAAGAGACTGACTTCTGACTTGAAAGTGAAGCCGTTATGAGCGCATCTCGAACGACGTCTTCACGGTTCTTCTCTTCCGTTACCGTTTTAAAGTTACAATCCTGGACCAGTGATTACAACTTCATAAAGTTGCCCATAGTTTCGTCCACATGACAGGCAAAGATCGCATCTTCCGGCTTGATATATATGGTACGAATAGTTTCGATGGCGAGTTCTTAGGTTGTGCACTGTTAATGTAACAATATAAATCAGGGGACACGTACTTCGCCAGAGTCTACGGTATCCAAAATAGTGAACGTCTCAAACCAATGGCTCCACTGTTTCGCTGGGTTCGTGTTGTTGGGATTTGCATCGAAATGTTCCGGCCTGAGGTTTGGTCCATCGTTTGCTGAATAACTTGCAGTGTTATTGGATGAGGATGAATGCGAAGATTGAGAATAGTATGGGTCTGAGAGATTAGGCGTTATTCAGCAAGCAACTGAGGCATGTTGGCTGAAAGGAAATGCAGAAATGTCATTATTAACAAGTCTACTTTGTAATCCTAGGGCGCGGGTTTGAGGCAGTGTAGGGACTCTACGATCCTCCCGGTATCCTTAGCTCGCCTGAGACTGATGGAGGTTAAGCGGAAGCGAAGCTTCCGTACTGCCTACAGGCGTGCCGGTGATGCCTTTTGTTCACATATCAGTTCCATCGACGTAAATTAGTGGGATTGCATATCGCCGGCACCTGATTTCCCTTCTAGTCTGGTACGGAGCTAATCTTTCAAGAATAGGTGATTAACGATACTGTGTCATTGACGAATAAAAACGAGGTGTCGTTTCCGCAGCTCCTTCTGTCTTGGTATGATGAAAGTACCTTTCATATGCTAGTTTATAATATAAGGATGAAAATATATACGCTTTTGCTAAGTGACTGAGCATAAGCGTTTGCATTGAAATGCCCAACTATCTTTCTAAGCTTGCGCATCCATATTTTTACCTCCGTTTTTAAATTTACTGACCTGGTTCCTTAGCCACCTCTCCTACTAGACTCCAGCTGCGTAATCTCCAGCGCTTTTCCAAGTTTGCCGTTATTTATTCTGGTGCTGACCTCTTTCATCCCCATGAATACAGTCAGGTAATCATGTAACCTCTCCTTTTAGGTTATGTTTACGGCGGGCGATCCATTTTTCAACTTTTCCGCGCCGAAATTACAGTCCTTTGTCATGAACAACTGTATTGGACCATCAAGAGTCGTCCGTTTTGTGCGAATTTTTTCTGCATTGGCTGGGGCACCTCAGCTGACTCGCCTTGAACTCATTGGCGTGCGTTTCCTCGGTGAGTTCTTACCCGCTACAATTTCATCCATACCTCATTGTAGTGCATTCCTATTAGCTCTCTGTACTCATCGGTTACATACGCGAATCTGCAGCTGTTTTAACAACGGCAGTACCGGCGTTTCAGTCTCAACCATAATAGCCTTATTGTTAAGGGATTATAAAAGTGAAAGTGTCGTTTGAAAACCTAAATGCCGTATGAGAAGATTCACATACACTACGCCTACACCTTAGTAGCCGCGCACAATCACGGACTGCTGGCTATCATGACGTTAAGGCGGCATCGGCGAGACAGTGTTCACGTGTCTGATTATACCGCGTTCATGTCAAAGACATACTACTCACCAACACCTGCAGGCAAAGCTCGTTGATCTGTTTATTTTAGGCACGAACGTTAAACGACGCCAAGGAGATTCACTAGCTTGACTTACTAAGAAGTTTTTAATGGCAAATTATTTTGTGCTTTGCGGGCGCATATACAAATGGTTGCGCTTCAACCCCCCCCCCCGCCCCCATTTACGCTGGTTACTAATGTGAGGGAAACCCATTGGAGAGAACAGTGATCGGCAGTTGCTAGTTCTTGTTTTTACACAGATATGACAACTCTTTTGAAAGTACGCAATGATTGACGCGGGGATAGCTAGAGTTTTGCGGGAAATTCGCGGTTGTTTATGAATTGGGATGTCACCAGGGTGCTTAAACCTGTATCCGAGACCGATTTGAGCTCTTAGTTGAATGATTCGCGTTGAAAGTTTGATTGCCTGGCAGCACGAATGCGTTACTGGTTCACATTATGGTCCAATTTTGCATGTTTGAGTGTTGCCCTGCTTGTAATTTACCATCTTGGAAGGGTGGGATATCGGGTTCGCCTGGTCAGCACTTGATCTTTCTGATAATCGCTGCCCTCGAGGCACCCACATGTACCGTCGAGTATAGCTCAACAGATCGGAGGGATGCGGCATCACAACACTATATGGTTCGGTTTCGTTTCGACATCTCACCATAAGTATTTCAGGCTGTATCGGCCCCTTGCAGCCCTACCGCAATGAATTTTCGCCTATACGCCTTATTAAAACTTGTTCAACAGATATATATTTTCTGGTGGTCGTTTTTATACTTTGGGCCTAACCGTATTCGTCATAGATGCGCTGTTGAGAACAAGGAATAGCACGTATATCCTTATCTCTGTCCCGTGCGCAATAACCGAACTAATCTATGTAAACCATAGTCCCCTTTGACCTCAACCCACAATGGACAACGCAGCTTAAAACTCCATTACTCATCAGAATTCTCGCGAAGCGTCACCCAGAGAGTCGGCCAAAACTATCGCTACAATCATGTCTGATAGTCTGCTTTCAGCATCTCGATACGTGGCGACATTCGCACATTTTTGTGTTATTAAGTGTACCGGAGCGCGCGGATGCTTGATTACAAGTCATTTTTACTCACTACGAACCAACACCCACAAGTGTACAAGAAAGTGGAAATTCGAGGGCTGTGTGGGCATATTGTCTGATAGGTTAAACTAAGGAGGGTGTCTGACATAAGAACCCCCGAGACCTGTGGCATTAGTAGTATGGCCCGTGGAATGGCGAGCTGATTGCTTTGTATCACAGACCCTCAGTTAAACGACGAACAAGTCTTCATATTTGTTTCTCTCATCTCCCCCTTATTTTCGGTAAACGTCGATAGGCCGGTATATGGTTGGCAGCATCCGGTTCCTCATTTGCCTGTCACTGCACCCTCCATGGGACAGCCATAGAGAGACCGTTGGTGGCGAACGCTGCACCAGCAATAGCTCCACCCACCCACCCACCCATTATCCAATGTAAACTCGAAGGAATAAGACCGAGAGTCATGTGGATGGAAGCCACGTTTCATCAACGGGGCCGACCCACACTCCTCCAACATATTCAGCAGCAACCCTCTCTAATTTGGGAATCATGCGTACCGGACGCACATATGGCGGTGACTGGACCGTAGCTCGCTCCACATTGGATGGAACCACTCTTTGAGCCTAGCACGGTTGCAAGGACCGTGCACTCCTTCCCTCCAGCAATAATGAATCGTCTTCTGGAGCCAGTATAATCGTGGTGGTGTTAGTCAGGTAGGCAACTTGTCACCATTCACAATAAGCGCAGCAAGGCGTACGTCCGGCAAACGGACAATCAGTCGAGTTTAGCCCGTCAGATGACGAAGCACATCATACGCTTCATCAGCCACAATCTTGGCAACTGCACAATGCTAGTGCGAATGCTGTATAGTCACATGGACCCATGCATTCGTCCACATTTGTGTATGAACTACCACAAACGGGATGAAAAGACATGTGCCTCATGGACTATGATAATGCTGGAGTGCGTGTGTTGGGATTGAAGATAAGACTGACATATTCGTCAGGTTATGAGAACTCGCACGCATAATAGTCAGTACCCAAGTTGGGACGATCTATTGACAAGTTTGAACAGACCTGTGTTCCGCCTGGCTCACCAACCGGCGTTCTTTAGGATCCCCATGCAGTGGCATAATCTGACTTGGTCCGTCCTTTGCGACGCACAGGTTATTAAGTGGAGACCCATTGTATTGCCACAAGATTGTCGATCGCGGCATGGCTCCGTGTCAATGACTGCAGGTTAAGCGTAACACTACGCTGAACTATGAAAGTTTCGCAGCTAGGCATGAAAACGATCATGTGCGAAATCGACACTGAAAATGCGGCAGTGAGACAGTACTGAGCGAAACAAAGTAAGGGGATTAAAGCGGAACTGGGGTACTCGTAAGTCTGTGTAGCCCAATTGCGGTGAAGAAGCATGGTGTACGCAACATCATTCCCAGCATACAGCACTCATATGGGACATCGGCTTTCGGATTAGCCTGTTAATATACCTCCTTTGGGACAAGTACAAAACGCCTGCTTCTGCGCAGCGACTATGGTTGTCTCTGCACTGCAACACTTGGGAACTTAGTTGGATGTCCGCGCAAATGTCCTCGCCTCTGCTGCTGGGCAAGAACGGGTATTCTGTTCTGACTCACCTTCCTCCATTATGTTTGACGATTAACCTACACCGTCTCCCCATGCTAACCAAAGAAAGGTGAGTTAAGGTATCCCCCTCACTTGCGTCCCACCAGGGACCACATGTCAGTCCGTGGTGCTCGGTCTCACATCGAACCTGTTCGGCGTAGCCCCTTTGTGGCCCCGCTGGCGACTGACTAGACCGGCTGGGCTTAAACGCACGCAGCCGTATGCACTTCTGCCTCATGTGGAAGTAGCCGATGAGCTGTAGTCCGCCGGCAACTGGCGCTTGCGTGCCGTGCGTTTTCGTTCCGGATGCACCAGCTGTATTACTTGCGTTTGGGAAACGGTTCGTCTACTGTGATCACGCAAACACCGACGATCCGTTGCCACCTCATCCCAACCCCTTAGGTCAATAAGTAATAGGGATAAACTAACCTTTATCTTGTCTTGGTAACGCAACTTTGGTTTGCCTGCATTCCGACTCCCAGCACTCATTTACCTCCATCGCAATGAGGCTGGACCTTACCGTGGTGCGATGGTTTGCGTGCCTCCGAGATCCATTGAGCTATGCTGGGTGGTGCTTTTTTGCACCTCCAGAGCCACTCATACCAGATTGGTCAATGGTTAGAGGCCAGACAAACAGCCTCCTGGTCCTCCAGGTTGGGGGTTGGAATGGGGGTGGCTCCTCATTTCATGAAACGGGCTCTGTAGTCCAGTGCCAAAACCCGCTGCCTTGCGGTAAGGTTTTTGAACCAAAGGCTTTGGTTGAGAACCCTAATCGTTCTCCTGTCTAGGCCTGGGCAACCTGACAGTATTCTGCCCACGCAATACAATGAACCTTTCCTACAACAATTTCTTGATGCTCTGGCCGTCGCAGAGGATAATAAACGGCGCCCTATCTGCTGCATCGAGCAGGGTGGATAGGGGTTTGGATGCTACTGCTCAGGTCTTCTCGTCTTCTTATACCCCTTCTTGTGCTTCTGCATCCTTATTGTCCCGCTCCAACTATACTTATATCCCCCCATTTTCAATCCCCCAATTATTGGTCCTCCCCTAGCTTACTTCAATAGTCGCTTGTCTTCTAATTTCAAATCACACACAATCACAAAGCCTCGCTCCAATCCAGTCGACAAGTCCATGTTCAACCAAGCGGACAACGTCAGTTCATCCGTTTCCCTTTGGAGTCCTCGTGTTGTGCTAAGACTGGCATGCCTCAACGTGCGCACTTTGCTGCAGATTGGCCAACAGGCAGCACTTGCCCGCACACTAGGGACCCTATCGATCGATATTTGTTGTTTATCAGAAACCCGCCTGCAAGGTTTGAGCTCCGTGCTTACCCTGAGATCCCCCACATGCGACACTGGCGGCACATTGTCATTGCGCCTATCTGGCGATGATGCAGCTTCAAATGCCGGTCAAGCTGACCTCGGCATTATTTTCAGTCCCCGTGCTGAAGCTGCCCTGCTTGATTGGATCCCAATAAACAGTAGGATTTGCGCCGTTAGATTAGCTGGTTCGTTCCGTGCTTCGAAGTCGCGCGGGGACAAACGGTGCCTGTTTGTCATTGCGGCCTACGCCCCTACAAACTGTAGCACTGATTCGGTAAAAGATGATTTCTATCAGCAACTTCACGAGCTCCTTCGTTACAGAAGAAGCACGGATACTGTGGTGCTGGCTGGCGATCTAAACGCCCAAGTCGGAAAATTGTCCTCTGATGAGCTTCATCTGGGCGGCCAACATGGTGTAGGCTCCCGTAATGATAATGGTAAGCGATTGCTACAGCTGTGTGAAGATGCTCGCCTCTTTCTCGCGAGCACTAACTTTCGACACAGCACCCGCAGAAGTGTGACTTGGCGGCCACCAGCCTCGGGTCAGTCATGGACGCAAATCGATCATATCGCGATCAGTTACCGCTGGAGAGGCTGTGTCCAAAACTGTCGCTCGATTTGGAGCACGAGCGTGGACTCTGACCATGCACTTGTCTG